TAGACTAATTTTTCAGGCTGAGACAAAATCTCTCTCTTTGGAGAGATTGATTTGAAGGCCCAATTATTTTAATACCCATGGAAATTGACTGATCATAAACAGAAACAAATTTGGTCTTAGAAATATTATGCACTTGATAAAATTCCTCCATCAACACATGGAAAAAAATTCAAATTACTGTGAACGATGGAGGAAAAGAATAACTGAACTGGTAAAACAATATCAAAAGACCTATGAAAGGATGTGTCAGTATTAATATGCTTTGTAGAGGAAATCCAATTGCAATTAAATATTGCAAACTATATTATAGGAGAAATAATGAAAATATATCTGAGAAATATGTGGTGAGGAGATATTCATGAAAGTAAGAGGATGGACTGGAAAGTAAATGGTAAGACACAGGTCTGCATTCCGTTATTCCCCATTACCATGTGAACTGGGTTGGATAATGTCCCCAGCAAAATTCATGTGCACCTGGACCCTGTGAATGTGACCTTATTTAGAATTAAGATCTTTGCAGATGTATTGAGATGTAAATGAAGACGAGGTCATATTGGGTTAGGGTTGGGCCTAAAACCAATTACTGATGTTCTTACAAGGGGAGACATAGAGACATATAAATAGAAATCCTTATGAGGGTGAAAACAGGTTGGCATTATGTTGTCACAAACTAAGAAATACCCAGCACTTCCACCAGTCACCAGAAGATAGAATGGAGGCATGGAACAGATTCTCCTTCAAAGCATGCGGGAGGAACCCACCTTGCCAACAACTTTATTTCAGATCTCTAGCCTCTACAACCGTGAGATGTTAAATTTCTGTTGTTTTAAGCCACCTAGTGTGGAATACTTTGAAACTAATATACCAGGAGACACCCCAAGGGAAAATGAAGGTGAATCTGTCAAATCTCCTTGTATATATAGTAATGACAGACATCGTGTCAAATTAATGTATTTGCAACTGAGAAGGGTCCTTAATTACAGAATGCTTTAGCAGGATGTGCCTAGTTGTTTAGGATTACTTAGGGATAACAAACCTAATCTCTATGGATTTATGGGGCATGGATCTCTGGAAAATATAGTCTGTGTAACTCTCTGAGTATAAAATGGAGATGTTTCATGACTTAAGTATTGCCCTCTACGTAAGTGATGTGGTCAGCCATATCACTTAAAGATCTCCTGTACTAATCTGGGGCACAGCATGTTTGAATGTACAATGAAGTCCCTGAACATTGCAATCTTAGCCCCTGTCCTCTCCTGCTTTCCCTGGACCTCATGATTACTTGCATCCTTGAAACTATTAGTAAAAACTTAACACTAGGGAAGATCTCAGATTCGTGGGACATCTGGCTTGACAATCCAATCTTTTGTGTTATTTCAGATCATGTCTTAAAAATTACCTAGCTAAAACTCATTTGGTTTATAAATGAACAGAAGCAACAAGATTCTTTTGTGCTCCATTAGAATTTTAATCTCTTGATGCATTATTTGTTGTGGCACATGAGTAAATTTATTTCTTATGAACAACTACCTCTGATTGCCGTTTTAAGTCCAATTTGGTCATCTCAGGGATGCCAGTGACCTATTTGCCACGAGGTGTAAACGTTTCAAGTTCAAGTTTATTACCTGCACTCTGTAAATTGGCATGTAGACTCTAAATCCAAATTATTGCTCCTGGTACTTGGCTCCTCTGTTTCCTACTGAGGATCCCCTGGAGATTTCTCCCTCCATACTTGTACTTGTCGTTCCGATGGTGCCCATCCTACAATTTTGTCTGGATATTTTCATCTCTTTTCTATAAATTTCATTTTGTAGCCTTATAGATCATTTTGACAATTCTCCAAACATGTTTATTGAGAGAACAA